CACGGTTTGCCGGGCAACCTCCAGACCCTGCGCCCCCAGCTGGGCGCTTCCCCTCCCGGGCGCTTCCCCTCCCGGGCTCCAGCTGCGCTGGGGAAGCGCCGGCTGGGGGCTGCCTGGCAAACCCTGAAGCCGGTAGTGCTGGGGCAGCCCTTTCCCCCTGGCTGGGAGTGGGAGGGAGGAGGTGGCGGAGTTAGGGCGGAGTTAGGGCAGGGAAGGGGCGGAGTTGGGGCGGGGCTAGGGGTGGGAAAATGGGGGGGGGCCAGGGCCCGTGGAGGGTCCTCTTTTTTTATTTATGAGATATGGTAACCCTAAACACTCGGGAATAATGGACAGGGCAGTTTTACTCCACAAACTACATCCATTTCCCTGAAGAACATACCAAAATCCCCAGGTGGGGGCGCTGAACTCTGCACAGCCGCGCCTAAGACCTGCAACTGCCAATGACTCCAGTGTCATCTCAGGGTCAGGCCCCTAGGGCCTCATGTACAACTAGTATCAGAGGGGTAGCCGTGTTAGTGTGAATCTGTAAAAAGCAACAGAGAGTCCTGTGGCACCTTTCTGTTAGTCTTAAAGGTGCCACAGGACCCTCTGTTGCTATGTACAACTAGACGACCCCCAACTGCACCCACAGGCTTTGGGTTCGTGCAAATACAGACATGCCTGCACACAGGTTATGCAGTAGATCTGGCACGTGCAAAGCACCTTTTATTCATACAGCTGCGGCATTTCACTGTCACACACAACCCCCTCCAGTGGCCTCTGCCCCACGCTGGGCGGGAGCTCAACCAATCAGAGGCTCTCCTTCATCTTTATGGCTCATACTGGCCCAGCCAGGATCTTTCCCAACCAATGAACGGTCTCCTTTCATCCTTCTCGGCAATATCTGTTTCTCTCCAGTAGGTGGCGCACTGCTCGCTGCTGCCACACTCCATGGTCGCCAACCGGCGCTCTGGTTCGCCCTTTTCACTCTATTGTTCCGCCCTATTGTTTATTCCCTTCCGCTTCCGGGGCAGGTTCCTTCTTTCCGTGCTGTCGCTGCTGCTGCTGGCAGGATGGTGAGAGGGGGCAGCCCTGGGTGTATCCGCCGCCATCCGCCTCGGGGACCACTCGCCTGAGCCCGGGGCCGGGCCACATGCTTCGGGGAGCCGCTATGGAGGGACTCGGCCGGGGCCGATCCGGGAGATCCCGCCGTGGCTCGGTCGGGTGGGTTGGGGCCCTGTCCGCTCCTGGGAGCCGGGTGCGAGGAGGGGCAGGAAGGGGCCTGTCTCCCCTCTATTAGCCGAGCCCGTGGTGGGCGGGCATGGGCTGGGGGCGCTCACCCGGCACTGCTGCTGCACTGCTCGGGGTTGGGCGGCATCTCCCACGTCCCCTCGCTTTACCTGCTGTGTCGAGGCAGTGGGATTAGTGGGCACCGCCCGCCTGTGCCGGGAGAGAGAGGCACTCGTGTACTGGCTGTAATCCCAGTTGCTGGGGGGAAAGGGGGCAGGGTGACATTGCTCATGCTTAGCCCTGCTTTAGCTGCAATGCTCGAACGCCCCAGGCAGATTACATGGCAATTACTCTAACATGCTATATTGTTCTCTGCTAGGTGAACGTCCCCAAAACCCGCAGGACTTACTGCAAGAAATGTGGCAAGCACCAGCCCCACAAAGTGACCCAGTACAAGAAGGGCAAGGACTCTCTCTATGCTCAGGGTAAGGGGCATTTCTAGACTAATTTTCCATTGGGAGGCAGGAATTTATTACTCTGTGAGATATACCACCAGTGTGGACAATAATGGGGTTATGATTACTACTGGTAGTGGGAGCCCAAGGGGGTTTGAATCCTAGCAGTGGGTAATGTATTGCTCTTGAGGTAATAAGCACAAGGGATAATGGAGCGGATATGTGTGGAGAATTTGTTAGGTTTCATAACTGTTTAACAATCTATAGTGATTATGGGGTGGAAGCTCTCAGGATCCTTGGACATTCATGTATCAGGGGGTAGCCGTGTTAGTCTGTATCTACAAAAACAAGGAGTCTGGTGGCACCTTAAAGACTAACAGATTTATTTGGGCATGAGCTTTCGTGAGTAAAAACCTC